AGGAATAAGTATTCGATATCAATCTGTCACAATCTTCATAAAGATTAAAGTTTTGAATTCTGCATCGATAATATCAAAATTCTTTAACGTAATTATAATCATATTACTTTTTTTTTATATATAAAAAAAAGTAGGAGTAATAAATATTATTTTGGAGAAACTTTAAGACAAACCAATATGGTTGTGGACTCAATATATCATGTGCATTCATTAAATAATATCAAAAGCAAAAGAGGGAAAAAAAAATAAAAGCATGATTCTATTACCTTACGCCATAGCACTTGTCACTTTCTCAACACTATCTTTTGCTATTATATAGTTTTACTATAAGTTTTTTTTTTTTTACATTTATTAAATGTATTTATTTTTTTTGTAGATCTAGCTTACCTAGTATCTGTTTTTTCATACTTTTCTTCATTGTTTGGTAGCAAAGAGGATGGAGTAGTAATTAAGTAGGCAAGAACTTTAGTAGTTATTTTAAAATATTTTTCTGTCTCGTATAATTTATCGTATTTCATTTTTATAGATTTATTAGAAATTATCAATTTCAGATAAATTTTAACTATTTTATTCAAAATAATATCTTGAAATATAATCTATATGAATTGAATAATAATGACATGTTCAAAACAAATTGTAAATTACGTCAAAATACTATTAGCAACGTAATTCATAGTTAATTGATATGAGAAATTCAAAAACAAATTAAACGATCATAGAATTCAATATATGTATATATTTCATTATAGTAAAAAATATCAATCTATAATCTTTTAATCACACGACGAGAAGTCGAAAATTATGATCCATTGAGATCTAAGGTGGGTGGGGTGGAGGTGGAAATTAAACAAACAAAAGATAGGATAGATAAGTAAATTAATTATGTTGCAGCAGAAATAAATAAATTCACGCAAAATATTAAATTTTGTTTCGAGGCAACTTGTTGGAGTCTCATATATATATATATATATAAGGGATATTGCATTGGATCTTATAGTTTAAATTGTGCTAATAAATTCAAAATTTAATATAGAAATAATTTAAATAATTAAAAACTAGTTATACTTTCTCAACTTAATATAAGATTAAAAAAAGAGCTTAGACTAGTATATAACTCGTCCGTTCAATTATAGTTGTGTACTATTAATTTTGCATAATTCTTAAGAAACTATTAATAAAAAGGTAATTTTATCATATTACCTTTTGAATATAATGAATACAACGTCTATAATTAATGATAAGGCCGGTAAACTATAAGTGTAAACATTATTTATTAATTTTATAAAATGGACAAATATTATTGAGCATCTATGTAATCAAAATTAAATTAGATTACACTAATTTGATATGTTAAACAAAAAATTTAGATATAAAAACTATACAAAAAGCATGTAACTTTCCCTGTAACATGCTTAACACTATACAATTGAAAACACATCTCGTTATACATTGCATCAATAATGATCAATAACTGTAACTCCTTAAGCTTTTATATATATATAACAATAATTAATACTATTTATGAATGTCAATAAATCTAATACTAACTAATTGATTTAATACAATAAAATCGTATAAACGATGTATCAAATCAAACTCAAATAAAACAAATCAATTAGAGGTAGATGAGTAGAGAGGTCTTTACAGAGAGAGATATATATTCTGGCGTGGTTTGCCAGCAATGAAACAGAAGGATCAAAAGCTCTCTGTTTCTCTCTCTCCAAAGCTGGCACTGTATATTCACGCACTTGCTCAATATTAATGTAAACAGAGATACCATTAACCAAATATCAAGAAAGTTCGATTCTTGATCCAACAATGGCTGCATCTCCTCCATTTCTTGCCTCTGCAGAAAAAAAGCCCTGGTGGGTTACCAACAAAAAGGTACAATCTTGATTTTGATGATTGCATTTGCATATATACTTATATGCGAGTGAGTTCGATAGAATTCAGTAACTAGCTTTGGCTCAAACTTTGGAAAAATACATTCTTGAGCTAGAGCTTTGCTCATGGGTTCGATTGAATTTAGTAACTTTAGCTCATATTTTGTGTTTGAAAAACACATTCTTGATTTTATCCATTTTCGTTTCATTTACTTTCTTTGATGATTGCATTTGGATACATATGTGAGGGTGGAGCTAGACCTTTGTCTATGGGGTTTGGTAAAATGCAATGGCTTTAGCTTCAAACCATCTAATTGTGTTTAGAAGACACATTCTTGATTTGACCCTTTTTCATTGCATTCACTATAATTAGTTATAAAAGGGCGGAGGTATAGCTTCACTATGGGTTCAGCTGGCTCAAATCGCGTATTTGTGTTTAAAAAATGCATTCTTGATATTACCCGTGTTCATTTCATTCACTTTTGCTAGAGCTTCATCAATGGATTCAGCAGAATTTTGTTGCTTTGGCTCAAACAATGTATTTTTTAAGATGTGTCTTCTAGGATTCGCAACTCATAAACTCAAAATCCTAGACTCATACTTATGCTCTGTGTTTGTTTTTGTCAGATTGTGGAAAGATATATCAGAGATGCCAAAATTCTTATAGCCACTCAAGAACCAAATGAGATTTCTTCAGCTCTTGCCCTTGTTGAAGCTGCGCTTGCAATTTCTCCGCGTTTTGAATTAGCCCTAGAGTTAAAGGCTCGATCTTTGCTTTATTTAAGGTGTTTTAAGGATGTAGCTTATATGCTAAAAGATTATATTCCTAGTCTGAAAATGCCTAGTGATGACACATCATCTACCTCTTCTTCTGGTTCATTTGATAGCTCAAAGGAGCAAATCAGCCTCATTTCTTATGGTGATGAACCTAACTTCAAGTGCTTCTCTATATCTTATTTGAAGAAGAAGGTTATGGCTAGTCTCTACAAGAATTGCAATAAAGAAGGTCAATGGAGGTAAGCGCACTTCGAATTACTTGTTGTGTGATCGTCTCATTTAAAACTTGAAGTTTTTAGAGGGAACATGTGTTTAATTTCTTAATTACATTATGTCTTAAACAGGTATTTGGTCTTAGGACAAGCTTGTTGCCATTTGGGCCTAATGGAAGACGCAATGGTTCTGTTACAAACTGGCAAACGCCTTGCTACAGATGCATTTCGACGTGAGAGCATTTGTTGGTCTGAGGATAGCTTCTCGTTTTCTAAATTTCCAATCTCAAGCAAAAATTGCTGTACAGCTTTGCAAATTACTGAGTCAGAAACAATATCTCAACTTCTCAGTCATATCAAACTACTCCTACGACGAAAAACTGCTGCAATTGCAGCTCTTGATGCTGGTCTTTACTCAGAAGCTATTAGGCATTTTTCAAAAATTGTGGATGGTCGTCGTGGTGCCCCTCAGGGGTTTATGGCTGAATGCTATATGCATCGAGCATCAGCGTATCATTCTTCTGGTCGAATTGCAGAGGCAATAGCTGATTGCAATCGAACGCTAGCATTGGACCCTTCTTGCATTGATGCTCTTAGAACTAGAGCTGCACTATTTGAAACCATAAGATGTTTGCCTGATAGTCTTCATGATTTGGAGCACTTAAAACTCTTGTACAATTCAATGCTACGGGATAGGAAACTACCAGGACCAATATGGAAGCGTCAAAATGTGGAATACAGGGAGATTCCAGGGAGACTTTGTTCCTTGGCTACAAAAATTCAAGAATTGAAGAAGAGGGTTGCAAATGGCGAAACGGGTAATGTGGATTACTATGCATTGATTGGTTTAAACTGGGGTTGTTCAAGATCAGAACTGGAAAGAGCACATTTGTTGCTAACTTTAAGGCACAAGCCTGACAAATCGACGAGTTTCATAGAAAGGTGTGAATTTGCAGATGAACAAGATGTAGATTCTGTAAGGGATAGAGCAAAGATGTCAGCTTTACTGCTCTATAGACTGATACAGAGGGGTTATGCTAGTTTGATGGCGACAATCAAGGACGAAGAAGCAGCTGAGAAGCAGAGAAAGAAAGCTGCTGCTGCATTGCAACTGATGCAGCAACAAGTTCAGCTAAATCAAGAACAACAACAATCAAGAAGTGAAACTTTTGGCACAGTTGTAATGCAGCAACAAGTTCAGAAAATTCAAGAACTTCAACGATCTGTACCTGAAACTCTTGATTCAGATGTGTGCAATACTGCATTATGTAGTAACACAAACATTACAAATGCGACAGTGTTCAAAGGGGCGTTCTGCAGAGAGCATGCGATAGTTGGGAATATGTTGTCTCAAGCTGGATTTAATCAACCAATTCCAGTGAAATATGAAGCATTGAGTTGTTGAATTTTAGGGGATTTTAGTAAGAGTTCTATAACGAAAAGAGAATAGTTTGAAATGTTATGCCACTGACTCAGCAGAATCTGAATCTGCTCCTATACCGACAAAGATTGTGGTGAGATAACTAGTCTCAGATTCAAGCCTTGGTATGGAAAAGAAATGTTGGGACCACTGCCTCCTTAAAAGGGCCTTACGCGGCGTGAATTCATATTAGCCCCAATGCATGTACTGGACACTGGGTGGGATACCAAAAAAAGAAAAGAACTAGCTTCAATATCATTGTACACATGAGGAAGAAAAGTATTTACCACTGCTAGCTGGGAAAATTTTGTAGTTTTACCCATTTGTCATTTTATTCTCTCCATCCACCACATGCACAGTATTTAATTCAGTATTTAGCTTATCTACTAGCAGTCTAGCACCATTTTGAACCGAGAGTCTATCAAAAATAACCTCTACCTTCACATCACCCCTTCCCGGACCCTAGTTGTTGAATTGCACAAAGTCTAGCACCTTTTTTGATTTAATGTAAAGACTTTTTTAAACCTTTAAAAGTATCAAACTTCAGTCTTTCTCACTTTTGGTAATTAATCAAGTTTTCGATTGCCAGAAAAAAAAATTTGTGTCCCTCTTGTCAGCATTGTTTTCAAAATAACAAAGTATTGTACATGATTGTTTCGTTTGTCATGTTTTCATAGGGAAAAAAATAGGACACATTTGAACAATATATGGAAAAAAGAAAAATATAAGTCAAGAATATGTAGATAGAAATTTCCAGCTACATGTAAATGTTACACAAACAAAAGTATATTCTCATCAAACTACATAGATACCAGAGGATACAAAATAGTTATAGAAGACTGACTGATCAATTCGAAAACAAATGAATAAGTATCTGGTGAAACCAATCTTTTTCCAAAAATGCTGATCTACAGCATAACCAGGACGCCACTTCTTTCAACTTCTATGGCATAACCTACTTTATATATTGAGATACCCACTTAAATCCATCGCCATAACCCATTTTCCGTACAATACTGCACATAAATACCTCCAAAGGACGAACGGTAGAATCAGCAAGATTCACCTTACCTTTGCCAGTTGTGACACCGGTCAAGCCAAGGTGATAACGCAGTTCATCTTCTGAAGCTGCATATGGTATGTCTATCTTGTTTCCCAAAATGAGGAAGGGGACAGTAGCAAGGGCTTCATCAGAAAGAAGCGCGTCAAGTTCCTTTTTTGACTCAGCAAAGCGCTCTTTGTCATATGCATCAACTAGGTACACAACTGCATCAACCTGTGGCACAGCAATTCAAGCCACTTGACACAAAACTACGGGAACTCATTGGCCAGATCAATAGTCACCGGAAAAGAAGGAAATAAGGAAAACAGAAGGCGCAAACTTTACACTAATAAGAAATTATTTAGTACCTTACACTGCACAGCTTAAAATAGAAAAGAAAAGATTGCAACCTTGTAACAAACTACTGGGATGAACTCCAGGGAAGGGGTGGAGAAAGGAACTTTGCTGGAGTAGGTAATGTTTTCATAAGACGAGCAATTTAGTCCCTGATCAGTAATTTGTGACTCCTTCAGTCCTAAGCTTCCATCTGGTCTTCAGCATATGCTCCCTACTTCCCCGGGATAAAAAGTCTAACCATCAGAACAACCTATGTCCTACTGACACTTTAGGGGCACTTTTATCCACAACCATAAAATAAATGAATATAGAAAAAGGTAATTTTCTAACTGTTGAGGGACTAAAACATTATAATTTATCAAAAGAGGGGACAAAACATTATGCATGAGGAACTTTTGTCCTTTCTTTGTTTATTAAGGCAGATTTTTTGAAATAGAGTAAAAGGTACATTAAAATGTGGATCGTAACGAGTCAATTTGGTGTTTCGTGAGATTAAGCACAACTTGTCTAAGAATAGTCATGATTTGCTGTGCTATCTGATCACCCAACTCCCAAGAAAAAAACACGAAAAAAATGTTGGTACAGTTAGGCTGTTAGGCCGACATTAGACTATAAAGCAATCAAGACCAAAATCAAAGATGGAAGAATATCATGAAGCCAAACTTGTAACCTTGAGGGAAAAGGGACAAAAGAGACCTTAATCAGGAAATAATAATTTCAACCTTGGGGAAACCAACTATCATTGCTCTCATGCTATGATTTTCCTTTAAAAATTGGCAAGTGTACAAAGCAATTTGTGAAGAAAAACTGGAGTCTTTTATGGTGAAAATAAATTTAGGTAAAACTAAATGAATTTGCTTTTTAACTTATCATTTCCTTCCCATATCATCTACTCCCTCCGTATCAATTCACGTGACGGTGTTTAACTGGATATGAAATTTTCAATTAAAGATGACTTTTATCATGTAAGCCAAATATAAGCAAAGCACCAAAATTATCCCTTTAACAGAGCGGTGGTGAGGGTTCCACATGTATTTTGTGTTTACATGAGCGGTGGTAGTGTCCCAACAACTCCTTGGGAGACTAAAATGAGGATACTTAAATTTAATAGTTTCCAAAAAAGAGAAGGTGTCATGCTTAGCACAAAAAATAAAAAGGAAGTGTCACAAAAGTTTGGACAAACGGAGTGATAGGTATGAAAACAGTCACCCAAGTGTGTGGCCTACTGATCAATGACTCAACAAAGTGGGTGAAAACCTAGGAGACCGGGGTTCAAATCTCCATACAGACAGAAAACCGCCAAGTGATTCTTCCCATTTGCCTAACTCTTGGTGGGCAGAGTGAACCGGTACTTGTGTAGGTGATAGGTAACAAGGTACTCGTTGAAATAATTAAGGTGCAAGAGCATTATCCAAAATAGAAGTGTGTAAATATTTCAAGGATCTCTAACTCAGATTGACTTTAAAAAGTCAATTTGAGCATAAATTTGAATTTTTAGTTTGCCTACGTCCATTGTAATAAATGTCAGAGCTAAGCTGGACAATCGTTAGAAAAAGGGCGAGTATGGGACTAAATTAGCAGTATGGGGATTTCCGTGGACTGAAAGATAAACAGAAGGCAAATCTAAGACAAATCAAATACTTCAATGGGTAAATCAGTGGTAGATGATGTTGAAACCGCTTGCTACAGATGATAGAATCTTTTGTAAGCTTAGTTTCTTCCCTGAGAGTTCTTTTAATTCTATTCTCACCCTTTCCCTCCTTTTCGGATGTTATTTCAGCACTACTTCGTGTTGTTTTGTCTTTTATGAAATCAACAATGCTTACCATTTCAAAAAAAAATCTGAATTATTTTCCTTAAAAAACTGCTGCATTCAAACATACGACTTCGACAAATTTGACAAACGAATAGCCCACTACACCTTCAGTAAATTTAATTCTCCACACAAATACTTTCTAAGCACATACCTTACAGAGATAAGTGCCACCAATGAAGCACATTAATGTTTTCATGTTGCTGCAAGGGACAGCCAATCTAGAGGCTGTACTAAGCCATCATGGTCATCGAAGAGAAACACAAGTCATATAAACGAAGGAAAAAATAGGGAAGTGTCAAGGAATCTGGCCCAGTAGGGCAGAACAATAACAAAAGTATTACGGAAAAAGCGTCACATTTACCCCAGTACTTTCAAAATATTGTTAGTATATGCCCTTCGTTATACTATTCGATTATAGAACACATGGATCTGATGCAACACATGGCAACTGACTTAAACATCCAGTACAGTTGATATAAAAGGCAATTTTGAGTTTTTTTTACTTTTGGATTAGACTAAAAGAGATTATTTCTTTTTATTAAAACGTAAAAGATGATCAGGTTACAAAATTCAGTTATTGATATATATCTAATCTGACAGAAAGATTCAACACAATCCGCGAAACTTTTCAGTGACCAACACAAGAAAATGCGGAGAATAAAATGATGCAACAAAATGGGCAAGACAAGTTCTACCTATGTGCAAAATTAAAATTACAGAAATAAAAGGTTATCAACATTTAACACACAAGGCATACCTTGGCATAGTAGTCTTTCCAGACCCGACGAGCAATCTGATGACCTCCCAAGTCGAAAGCTTTGAACTTTATCTTTCCAATACTCAACTCTTCAGATGTAGGATACTGCGTTGGTTGATGCTGAACTAGCCTCTGTAAATACCGAAAAACAATCAAAGACGATGCTTTTATGATAAATCAACTATACACAATATGAATCCTAATCACCCATTGCTCATTTCCACTTGATTCATGTTTTCTCAACATTCATTATAATTACTCAATCCATCTCAAATTTCTTTTTTAGTCTGTTCCCCCCAAAAATGCTACCTTTCTACATTTAAAAGCAACTAAGCCATTAATAAGATGATTCACAAGTTTCAAATCTTTTTTTTTAAACTCCATGCGCATCAAGCAACATGACATAATTCCTCCGTCTCTCTCAAATTGATGTAATGTACTTTCTTTTTAAGTTTGACTGGGAAAATAAATTGCTAACTTTCTACATTTAGGAACAATTCAACCACCATGCTTTACATATTTCAAAAGTACATTTTTTTCTTTCTCAAACTTCGTGTTCAGTCAAACAACATAACATAATTCCTCCTCCCTCTCAAATTGATGAGATGCACTTTCTCTTTTAGTAACTTTCTGTATTTAGAAACAATATAATCGATGATTTACCATTTTTCTTAAACTTCGTGCCCGATCAAATAAACATAACATAATTCTTACATCCCTCTTAAATTGATGTGATGCACTTCCTTTTTTAGTCTGTCCCTAAAAACAAATTGCTACCTTTCTACATTTAGAAACAATTTAAACCATATAACAACAACAACATAACCTATATAATCCCAAACAATTTAACCTACATATTTCAAAATTACATCTTTTCTTTCTTAAACTCCGTATCAAACCGAATAAAAGGGAATTAATAGTACCTCATCTTTGAGCATATGAAGAAGAGTGGTTTTGCCAGCATTGTCAAGACCTAAGAATAAGATCTTAGCTTCCTTTTGCCACAAACCTAGAGATGACAAAACTCCATAAAACCAATCCCACAAAAACATTTTTTTTTCAAATTCAAGAAAGATCTGGATTTTAATGCACTCTTTTTCAAAAAAAAATAAAAATCAGATCTTGGGGTTGTTTATGTGGGGTAATTAATTGTTAAACTTAGAAATCAAAATGATTAAAGAATTGATTAGGGTTTAGGTGAAGCAAAATGGGAAAATGAAATTGAAACTAATTTTTTTAAGGGAAAAACACAAATATATATGGATGGATCTGAACTGGCATTAATTGCTTTATTTTCTTCCTTTTTTTTAATGGTGGTAAAAACTCGACAGGTAATTGAAAATAAAATATTCTTAATATATTAAATCTCCAAATCTAATCAATTTTCTTTTTGATTTTCCAATTATAACATGAATTAAGAAAAAAAAGAGCATAAAACAAATTAAAGGATCATATATTTAGTTTTTACACGTTAATTATATATATATATATATATATATATATATATATATAT